TTTAGTCAAAGACGAGAAAACTGCAGAAGAAATTTGCCTTATTTACACGTATCGGCAATGCAAGCTGCCATGCGACTTCCCCTTCTGACGTCACAAGGGGAATTTCTGTATGCAAATAAGAAGCTAATGAGGAGCCTCGTTTTAAAATACACAAAAATAAAGTTGCCGTAGATTGAGTTTAAAACACATTTTTTCACTTAAAAAAATAATTCATGCTTAGAAACATAAAAAAATAATATTTATGTATCAATGGATAATTTTAGGCATGAAAATAGCAGCCATTTCACAGGCACTTTAAGTCTTAAGTCAACACAGCATTCTGATTGGTTAAGTCTTAAGTCAACACAGCATTCTGATTGGTTAAGTCTTAAGTCAACACAGTATTCTGATTGTTGCAGGTCAAATCGTGCAGAAAAAGAACATGGTCAAAATTGTTTGCATACAATACAATATTCTTTGTGATAATTTCTGATCAGTTTCGTTGTAAAAGTGTTGTGGAAATAAATGATGATGCAACTCATTTCGCAATTTAATTTCTCCTCAAGGGACGAGCTATTCCCCCTAATCTGGCATACAGTGAACTAAAATTGTCTTTTGGCCGATTTGTTGTGGAGGGTTCTTGACTTAAACTCCCACCCCTTGAAAACATGATTTTTTAAGATGAGTACTCTGGGTTATAATTGGGCAAGTATACATACCTCAACATTCACAGACATGTCATTGTAGAAGTATTGTTTTGTTCTTTCTACGACTTCATCACGAAAATAGTCAAAGTCACTATCAGACAGACAGTGATGTTTTTGACGAAGTATCAACACAGATCTCATCGCTTTTGTAGCCAGATCATTTTCATCACTACCAGTAGATAAAACTGTAATTCAAATCAATAGCAACATAATTAACATTAGTATGTTATTTGGATATTAGTAAGCCATCAATGCCATAGATTTTCACACTGACATTTTGGTGCAACATGACCATTTTTATGTATTTTTAATGTTTTCCTTTTGTACCAAGTAAACATAACTGCTTGAATACAGATTGCTTTGCTCCGTTTTTGACAAGGGACAGAAGTTGACTAATGTTCAGATACTGTAAAATACTTTATTTTAGCTGTAATTAATTGTCACTATTATCGCTGAAGGAATGATTCAGTGAAAATAAAATCCAGCGAATATAACTTTTTTCCTATATTTTACATTCAACTTGTGAAAAATCAGTGAAAATACATTCCATACAAAACACCCAAAAAGACTTTTCAGCGAAAATTTATTCCAGCTAAAATAAAGCATTTTACAAAAGTTAAATTTTAACAGATTACTATATCAAAGGCTTTCATTTGAGGATGATAATTTTGACAATTATCTCTCATGAAATATTATTTTCTGCTAAAATGTTGGTGTAACAAGTGTTTTCTCTCAAATTTGGAATCAAATGGACAAAATTTACGATTACTTACAAATCTTGATCAACATTTTTTTTAAAAATATGTAAAAAATGTATTTTATTTTATGAATGATGACAAAAGTATATTCAGCACTTGATAAGTTAAATAGGTTCACAGTATTTTTACAAATATGCATTAGAATTGATATGACATTAGTATTGTCTTCATGCATGTGTGTATATAGTTGGAAACAGGAAGCAGGCATCCTCTAGGGGCCCCTTTCCAGTTTCGCCAGTAAAAGGTACAATGTTGGAAAATCTAGACAAGGTCGGTCACAGAGAAACACAATGTTTATTTATTTAGCCTCTGTGATGTGTTGACTCAGGAACACACAAAACATCAAAGAAACCAATAGGCATTTACATCTAACATTTGTTATATTTTATTACGCCATTTTTCAGTTACACCATCGGCACTACTTTTTACAGGTGACATATACCACCATTACAAAAGTATGTATTGTGATGCATACAATAAAGTAGTCCCGAAAACATCACAGCCTCACTCATCTATTCTATATGCACAAGTAACTGAAAAGAAACAAAAACTTACCACTGTTATAATCTTGAGTTCCATGAATTTTATAATCTAGTGAGGGCGCTATGATCACATTCTCTCCATTGAGTACACCTAGATTTTGCATCTCAACTGAGAATTTCCTTAATTGCAATGGCTCACCAATAAAGATATAAACTAAGTATAAAAAAAAAAAAAAAAAAAAAAACATTAAATTTTGGTAAGTAAAATGAAGATCATTACAAAACTTGGATTAAGACCATTAATCAACTTCTAGTTTTCATTACCTAAAATAATAGCATCAGCTAAATTACACAAATCGTTTTTGAAAAGACTTAAAATCTGTATCAGACAAGCATTTTAAAATGCACAGTTAATGTTGTGTACTTAAAGACTATAAGCAGATAGATTACTGTTATTTGTTAGAAGTGAGTAGTTTTGTTGTGTGTCATAGAATATAACAGCATAGTTAACCTGTATCTCATGGTATTATTCACTATGAAGATACACATGTTATACATGTGATAAAGAATGATATTACGTTTATAGCAAGAAAACAAATGTCAACAGCATAGAACAAATTAATAGTATAAATATTTCTATTCAAAATCATTGTAACTCATAAAATTCTTGTCTAGTTTGAACTGAACTAACGCTATTACCGATATAATTTTTTTCAAGTCGCTGGTAAACATTGATCTTATAATTGTGTGATATGATTTACATGTTCGTGCACGACATCTTTGAGCTGGGGTGTGAAAGTGTTGACTTTTAAACATACTTGTAAATAACTGGGCTATAGTTAAATATTACAATCATTGGGGTCAACAAGTAATTTGAATTAATAATATCGAGCCAAACTTTAACACTGTTGCTTAATGGCAAAATCTTTTGCCACTCAGTTTATACAGTTTACTTACTCCTTGTTGTTTGACGTATTTCACGAATGATATCAGGAAACATTTGATCATCCTCAATTTCATACGGTTCATAGGTAGAATTAAATTCTTTATAGTGTTGCACATTGATACCATTTTCATCAAGTTTCTCCAATATTGCTTCTGTCACTTGATCATAATAAGAGTCCCCAGACGTTGACACTACACTGACAAGCTGCCATGAGAATGTGTCAAGTACTTCCAAGATTGCATGGGAAACAAGATACATTGGAGGATTGGTTCGGAAGAATCCACCAAAATTAAAAGCTGACCTATCAATTGGTTCTTCGTCTTCACATCCCTAAAATGGAGAAAAAAATACTGTAAATGTTCATTTCAAGAAATCATGCAGGTATATTTTGTGAAATGGCAATACCCCAGTAGTTGACTTTAAGTGGCAACAACATGGTTATAAGCAACAACATAGATTATCATAGGATAATCATATTCTACTATGAAATTGTTTAAAAGATAAAAAATAATGGGTGTGACCTAAAGAAACAGGCTAGTATCACAATAATACAAATGTTACTTTGCAGATTGGCTGTCACTAGAGGGCGCTATATCTTTCATTGTGGTTCTAGCTACTACTGGTATTTGCCTTAGGCTAAGACAAAACATTTCTGTTTCTCCTTTCTGCCCACCTGCCATGTGAGTGTGAGATTTTTTTAGGTAAAAACACACAACTACTAGTGGCAGTTTCTGAGTCATCTCCAATGGCAATAATTTGAGCAGTGAAAATGCCTCTCATTTCAATCAAAATATTAGTGTATTCGTTTTGTGTTACTTGTATCTATTTTTTTTTCCAAACCATAAAAAAAAAAAAATATATGCCTAACTGCATCATTTCCACTAATATGAGAAACAGATATAACTTTTCTTGGCCTTAAATTATAGAAATTATTAGACATCATCTGCAATTTTTGAAGTGGTCAAAACAAATGCCTCTGTGAAGTTGAAGCCCTGGTATTCTAATCCTATCAGAGCCTGACCCATTACTTTAGATGTAGTTGAAGAGTACACTACAGCTTCATAATTTTGATTCTGTGAAACAATTTAACATAAAGAAAAATGTACTTTTATATGTACAAACTTGGACTAGAATTTCTGAAAAGAAAATTTTATAGAGAATCACAATTTTCCATTGAAAAAAAACAAACAACCCCATTCCTTACTTACATAGCCTGCAATGGTAAAGTAAAGGGAAGTAGCCGTCCTTGCTACATGAAGACAGTCACAGCCAGTTCCAATTAAAGCCTTGAATCCTGCATCCCAATGATCAGCCATTGTTGTAAGACTAAAAGTAGTGTTTGGTACGTTGGTCCAAGTATAATTCAGTTGAACACCTTAACAGTATGGAAGAAAAACAAATAGAAGAAATATCCTACTTGAAAATAAAGAAACAAAATTAAATTTTGCACTCAGAGAGTAGAAAAAGCTGTATCCAATCCATAAAGGTTTTATCATATGATATACCCATATGTAGATATACTAATATTGGATTCAAATGAAAATAATTTTCGCACTACTTGTGTTTCATTTATTTGGCTTATTGATCTTATTTCTGTAATTTAATTCAACCATTCACAGTGCAAAATGATATTTTTGTGGCACCACATCAACAAGACTTGTGAGCTTTGTCACTGCTATAGTGATTCTTTCAAACCAGGATCCTGACCAGAACATGTAATCTCTTGAATGTCATGATGTTTCTCTCTGTATCCGACGGTTACCGGTACATGTATTCGTAGCTAATGTGACCAATGTTTTGAAATGAAATCAGTGTGTCTGGCAGACCACTCAAGGCATGAGTAAAGAAATATTTTGGATATTCATTGATTGTTATCATCATAAGTACTTTTCAGGACCACATATTGAAAGGTAGATACAAATCTTGGAGTATATACTTGACATTCTAAATGTTCACATGTCACTTTTGGTTATGAGCAGTGGGCCCAAGACACGTACTGAAAGAACTTATCAGATTTATAAGTCGTTTTGAAAGATATTTTTGACAACCCAAGGAGTGCAAGTTATGAGGACTGTGCACATTTAGAACAGTCCTAAAGCGAAATCTGCATTCATTTTGTTGGTTACCAATGACATTGGATTCTTTTTGGAATACAGGAAAAGAATATGTCACAGTCTCCTGATTGGGAGATATTTTTGCATCATCACATGACCATAGTGCATATGTGCAATGTGCACACTAAACATCGTCAGTTTGTATGTGCTAGAAAAGTCCATCGAGTAATACCAACCATTTTTATGGCTGCGTATAAGAATTTCAGACTGGATAACAACAATTATATAAGCAACTATGATATTCACCATGTGTTATTGTTTTAGCTGTAGCAATATTATGCGTTATCTCTGCAGCTCAGAGATACTTGCATCCTTCTTTCCTGAAACAC